ACCCCATCTGGGTTTTTAGCTGTTGTCTGGCTGGTGTTCAGCTTTAATAAACCTGCCTTTCTTTGCTGGTTAGGATAAAGTGGTAGTCTGAAATATATAAGGTCTTAACTTGCTAACTTAAACATAGATAGAGGAAACATTTTCTTGGAACTTACCTCCAATTAGCATCGTGCAAATAGAAAAGATCTTTTCTGCATCAGTGTTGGCTGACACATTTCCAAAGCCTACACTAGTAAGGCTGCTGAGGGCAAAGTACAAAGAGGTGATGTAGGAACTCCGGAGGGAAGGTCCACCCAATAGCTCGACAGTTGTGTGGTTGTAAACTTGGCTACTATTGGAGTGACTGCTGGTATTTACTGTCAAAACATATCTCTCCACTAGAGTGTATGGCATTCCCAGACGTTTAGAAAATTCGTGCAACCATCCTTAAACAAAGCAAAACATGAATGATTCAGTCGGTCACAGTGAAAAACATCCAGATTCTGCTATTAAAAAAATAAAATATAAAAAAAACTTAATTGAGTTAATAAAAAAATGGATGGTGAATACCCAGACTATAAACTTACCGTACTAAAAACTGGAGCATTACACGCATTCGGGACTGTATGTAGCCGTCACACTTGTGTCATGTGATTACTTTAGCAAAAACTAATGCTACAATGTGCTATTGAAGGTGACATGTTGGCTGACTTATGTATACAGAACTACTTTTGAATTGTACAAGTCACCAGAAAAAAAGTAAAAGACAGCTTTATGTTTGTTGAACCAAAAGAGCCTTCTGACTTCCCTCAACTTCCTCTGCACCCTCTTCCTTTTCTTGTGCACACCATTGTCTAGAAGTGGTTAGAAAATGGTAAAAATAAAGAAAAGTTACCTCACTGTATAAATATTAAGGCTTGGTGCTGCATCCTCTAACCCTGCTACCCTAGGCACTAGCCTACAAATGTAATTATGGTAAATACAGCCTTGCACTCAGCCAAACCTTCACTCAACTAAGGAAGACACCATATCTAATCATTTACCTATATCTACTATCCCCCACCTCCCTTCCAGCTCTTATGCATTGACAAAACTAGGATTTACATACGATGTCCAACTTATAATCAAAAAAATTAGGAAGAAGTTCACTGTTTAACCAAATAATTAATTGCAAAAAAAACATATGTTAGAGTTTTAGAAAATATAACCAACTGCAATTGCAATAAGGACATCAGCTGACTTTGGACTGCTTCAATCATCATAAAAAAGCAGTGTAAACAGAAAATGACGGAAATGTTACTTTCTTAATTTATTCTAAGATATGCAAGCTGCCTAATATTTGAATGCAGTTTCAATATATAGACCTTTCAAAATCTTTTAAAGATCCAGAAGAAAAGAAAATCAATGATGCTTTAATTGACAAGTCTAAATATAGAATTTGATGCACTTTAGAAAAGATTCCACAATACTGTGCTGAATGTCAATTCTTATGCATCACAATTAAAGGTCAGTATAAGCATTTCTTATAATGATTTCTATACTTCCCATGTGCACTCTTAAAGTTTATTTCCACTTTTGCAGCCAAATTGGGTTAACACCTAGTTTATATTTGTTACATGTTCCCATTCTGATAACTTTAAAAATGTTGATTACCTTTTTAATTGTGCTTTTCTGAAAACTCCAAACCTGAAAAATCCTACTTGGTTCTTCCTTGCTAATAATGTGTATGGGGGGGGGG